AGTGCTTGCTTTCATGTTCTGCGTTTATATGTTAACACTATCTGTTCAAATCTAACGACTGAACTGCAGGGCTGCACTTTGTTCTAAGGGAAGGTGGTTTAGTAATAGAGAAACATGCACTTCCTCAAGCGCTCTTCAACATTTGCGGATACTTTGCATGTTACGCTGCTGAAAGTTTAAAGAAATGAGTGTTGCATCACAGGCTGGCGTTAGGAATTGAACGGTGGGCTGGGAACTACTAGGTCGTGTCTTCAAACCTGAAGTGCTCGCCCACTGCCTGGTCTTTCATGGTTGATGCAGAGCAAGGTGACTGATGGTTTGCTGCCAATGTATATTATACAATTTTTCACGCAGAATTCAGACAAAATATCTCAATTTGAGCAATTATTTCACACAATATTTATTCAAAATTCACCAAAAAAAAAAAAAACTATATTATCTAGTGACAAGGTGGTTGTCAATAGGCAGAATGAGCACTGAAATGGCCAAAATGTGAAGGATATTGTTCAGTCAACTTGTTATTACACAAAATAAGCCTTGTATCACTCTGAAGTGGTTTATTAACTTACTATTAGGGATATGCCGGTATCAAATTTTAATGTTGCGATTAATTGCTAATGCTTTTATTACGGTATTATCACGATATTGAAATTTTGTTTTTAAAAAAGTGCTGTCATAATACAGTATAACAGGTTTAATAACTTTTTTAGTTTTTAAGTCTTAGTTCATGTTAGCTCATTAAATAACACAGTTGCAACTTTATATATTGACTTGGAATGCGCTATTTTACTGTCGTGATGAGTGAATATTGTCAAAAAATACCACACTAAATAGTGACTGAACACGACCCCTTTTAATACATGTTAACCAGGAGTCACTCTCATTTATAATCGCGGCATCGTCTGATAAAAAAAAAAAAAAAAACTATATTATCTAGTGACAAGGTGGTTGTCAATAGGCAGAATGAGCACTGAAATGGCCAAAATGTGAAGGATATTGTTCAGTCAACTTGTTATTACACAAAATAAGCCTTGTATCACTCTGAAGTGGTTTATTAACTTACTATTAGGGATATGCCGGTATCAAATTGTAATGTTGCGATTAATTGCTAATGCTTTTATTACGATATTATCACGATATTGAAATTTAGTTTTAAAAAAAGTGCTGTCATAATACAGTATAACAGGTTTAATAACTTTTTTAGTTTTTAAGTCTTAGTTCATGTTAGCTCATTAAATAACACAGTTGCAACTTTATATATTGACTTGGAATGCGCTATTTTACTGTCGTGATGAGTGAATATTGTCAAAAAATACCACACTAAATAGTGACT